TCGATACGGAGTACATTTGCCATGGAAGCTGCCACACCCAATTTTTCCTGATAACTATGAACTGAGCATAAAACGGTTGAGTAACCTACTCAAACATCTGAACGAAGATCCTGAAGTATTGAAAGGGTATGATTCAGTAATAAAGGAGCAGCTGAAAAATGGCGTAGTTGAAGTTGTAGAGAAGCCGGCTGATGGTGAAGTTGGGAAGACTCATTACCTTCCGCATCATGCAGTTATAAGACGAGATAAGGCAACAACTAAGTTAAGAGTTGTATATGATGCTTCAGCCGGATCTAACGGTGCAGCTTTGAACGATTGTCTGTACACAGGACCATCCCTTGCAGGGAACATTTTTGACATTCTCCTGAGATTTCGAGCTAGCAGAATAGCTCTTACTGGTGATGTGGAGAAGGCGTTCCTTATGGTTGGCATTGCAGAGGACGACAGAGATNTCAGGACCAACAAATGGAGCAGTGCAAAATGACCAACAGCAGAACAACCTTGCGACAACGCATGTCCTCAAGACGGCTACAAAACCTGTGGACATTACAAATGAGAGCCTTGATGAAAGTCTGCGGAGGTTCTGGGACCTAGAGTCACTGGGTGTCAAACCAAGATCTGTGTATGAAGAATTTCAAGAGAGGATAACCTTTAAGAATGATCGATACGAAGTACATTTGCCATGGAAGCTGCCACACCCAATTCTTCCTGCTAACTATGAGCCGAGCACAAAACGGTTGAGTAACTTACTCAAACGTCTGAACCAAGATCCTGAAGTCTTGAAAGAGTATGATTCAGTAACAAAGGAACAGCTGAAAAATGGCATAGTTGAAGTTGTAGAGAAGCCGGCTGATGGTGAAGTTGGAAAGACTCATTACCTCCCGCACCATGCAGTTATAAGACGAGATAAGGCGACAACCAAGTTAAGAGTTGTATATGATGCCTCAGCCAGATCTAATGGTGCAGCCTTGAACGATTGTCTGTACACAGGACCACCCCTTGCAGAGAACATTTTTGACATTCTCCCGAGACTTCGAGCTTGCAGAATAGCTCTTACTGTTGATGTGGAGAAGGCGTTCCTTATGGTTGGCATTGCAGAGGACGACAGAGATGTACTAAGATTTTTGTGGGTGGATGACATTGAGAAAAAGAACCCAGAGATCGTGGTGCTAAGGTTCTCCAGAGTTGTCTTTGGAGTATGTTCTAGTCCATTTCTACTCAATGCAACCTTGAAACATCACATTGAAAGACACAAGAATGAAGACCCTGAGTTTGTAGACCAATTCCTTCGCTCCATCTATGTAGATGACTTGAGTTCCGGAGCCGCTGACAACAATACAGCATATGAACTGTCCCTCAAGTGCAAACTCAGACTTGCTGAAGGAGGATTTAAACTGAGGAAATTCATGTCGAATTCAAGTCAGCTAACCAAGCGAATTCAGCAGAATAAAGCACGTATCTCAGCTCCTGCCATATCTGCAAACACTGATCACATGAATTCACCTTCAGACCTTTCAAAGGAAAATTCTGTAATCGAAGAAGACAAGACTTATGCAAAGAGTGTGCTTGGAACTGCGGAGGAGACATCTGGTGC